CCTTGAGTCTGCCCATGCTGGCCGCCTACCTGGATGCTTTGCAGACACTGAAAGGGAAGGTAAGGCTGTGGTTGGCGTCTGCCCTGTGTTGGGGTCAGCCAGTCCCTGATATGGGTTCAGACATGGGGTTTGGCGAGGTCATTACCTGGTCAGTTTGGAGGGCGTGGCTAGCCGGTATGCTATTAAAAGTAGGAGATAAGGTATCAATTTACACTTGGTCTGGTGTAAACATCTTCATGCCATTTCCAGGATGAGTGTGGGACCTGAAAACCAGAGTACTCATAGCCTTGCAGCTCCTGGCCTGCGTCATTGAACGTAGTGGAAGAGATGAAAGTGTACCGGGGGCAGTGTTGATAAGGGGCAAGAGGCAGGCTTGTGGGCTCAGAGGGAGGGGTACTCTGCCCTCAGTCTCTCCTCGTCAAGGGATGAGCCTTCAGTTACAACACCTGAGCTGAAATAATTGATTACAAGCGCAGCATTTCCTGCCCCTGTGGTCTTACCTACCTAGCATTGCACAATGTTCACCTATTTCCCTTATTGTGATGTTAATGGCTGCATTGGGCCTCAGTGTGGTGGACAGCAGGTTCTAAAGGCCAGTCATCTAATTGTCTCGGCCCTGCCACTGACCCACAGGGGAAGCTGAGACCTGTACTTCAGTTTCCTCCAAAATGTTCTTGATAACAATATCTATATGCGATTTCTGTGAGAATTAAATTGGTTCATCAAGAAAGAGTGGTGCAAAATTTTAGCACTTACTTAGCTCACAGGAACTGTTAAGGAGTACCCTTGTAGGTTCTGGAAATGGGTGAGGTACATTGCCCCAAATCAAAATAGCCTCAAACAACCTGTTTCAGTTCAGTTCGTAGAGCTGGGAATGGAGCCCAGGGCCTCACGTGTGCTAGGCAAGTGCCCTACCTCTGAGCTACATCAGCTTTTTTTTTTTTTTTTTTTTTTTTTTTAAGTAGATTTTCTTTTTCCTTTTCAGGCAGGTGCAAAGTTGCTTGGCCAGTAGCGCCCTTCAGCCATACTCCAAAAACTTTGTCTCTTGACCTGACTTTAAGTTTCAAGATGCTGAGTTTGTTAGAAAGCTACAGAAGACAGGCTTTGTATAAAACTCAGGACTAGAGATGTTCATGTTTTTATGGTAGGAAGTTTGACCCTAAATTTTTCACTTAGTGGTGTGCATAAAGCAGAACTGCTCCCTGCTCTGCTGCACCTTATTTTCTAGTGGAGAACGAGATGAATGAAAATAGACCCCAGACTTCCCTAGGGGTAAATGGACCTGGACTTGGGCACAGGTGGGGTGGGACCAAGGTAGCCCTTGGCAGAGAGTGGCCTGTTCATAAATACATTCTTCCTGTGGTAGAGGTGCAGCCGTGGTATGTATGCTCCAGGGGATAAGGGCCAGTAGTGCCCAGAGCATTGGTGGCTCTGCCTTGCTCGCCATAGCCAGCATGATTACAGTCTGACTTCCCTGGCTTTATTTTATTTATTTATTGGTAATGGGATTGAACCCAGGGGTGCTTAACCACTAAACTCTTTTTATTTTTTTATTTTGAGAGAGGGTCTCACTAAGTTGCTGAGGCTGGCTTTGAACTTTGATCCTTTG